GAAGGAAGGAAGGAAGGAAGGAAGGAGGAAGGAAGGAAGGAAGGAAGGAAGGAAGGAAGGAAGGAAGGAAGGAAAGGAGAGGGAGGAAGGGAGGGAGGGAGGGAGGGAGGGAAGAAGAAGGGAGGAAGGGAGAGTCCTTGAATCTGCAATGCATGTGACAGGGAAAAGATTTGATTGACCAAAATTCCACTTTTGTGCAATTTCAAGCCTGAGAAAGTGAGCCTTTCGTAGAAATTGGGTGGAGACTGTCACTCTTTCTGGCCTCATGACTGATCGCCCATATTTTGTTTCCCCACTGATCTCTTTATCTAGCGCCGTGACAATTCCTACGGAGCTTCTGGGGGCTCTGCCATCTGGAGTGTGGTCGGCTGGGGGCAGCTGGGCTCCCACTCACCACCACACACACTGTGGCCAGGGCGAAGGCGGTGCCCAGGGAAAGCCCCGATGGCCACCGGCCCCTCCTGGGTAGAATAGGAGGTTTCCTGGTGGCGACAGACGGGGGCGGCCACAGCCAGCCAGCCCATTTCTCCAGCTCAACCTTGGACTCTGTGTCCAACCAGGAATGTCCACGTCTCTTCCAGATGTCACTGGGGCAGGGCCTGTGTCGACCCCGCCCTCCGTCCCTCCCCAGGAGGCTGACTCCACCCTCTGACGCCCACAGGTGGTGTATTTCACGGCGTTGCTGCCCTACTGTGTGCTCATCATCTACCTGATCAGGGGCCTCACGCTCCATGGAGCCACCAACGGGCTGATGTACATGTTCACGCCCAAGGTACAGGCTGCAGGGAAGGGACCCTGAGGATGCCTCTCTGTCATATCCCGCCACCTTCCGGGGAGGCTGGAGGTGGGAGGGAGGGGGAAGCTGCACACAGAGGGTGCTGGGAGCCCGAGGCTGCGGCTAGGGGTGTGGGTCACCTGGGGGCAGCCCGTGAAGTCTTGCTTCCAGTCCCTCCTGCCCTCACTGCTCCCAGCCAACTGCGGCCCCAGCCTCCCTTCTGGCCTCCCTGCCCCAAAGCCCCACCCAGACTCTCCCCAGAGCCGGGTGCCACAGGCTGGGCTCCATCATCTCCCTCACCTGTTACCTGCTTCCTCCAGGTCATCCACCATCCCCTCTCAACTCCCCATTTTCCAGCACCCCACAGCTCATCAGCGGGGAACCTGTGGGGTGGGCAAGTTCTTCATTTAGAAAATCTAGCACCTGGATGGTACAGAATAACTGTCCCATCCCCCCAAATGCACCCTCTTGTTCCAAACGTCCACAACAACAGCACCAGATGCAATCCAGACCTGAACTCCACCTCCAAGCCACAACCACTTAATATCCAGACTCCCAGACTGCCTGGCTGGTGGTGGGCCAGAGATCAGTGCATTTTTTTTTTTAAATCATTTTACCCTAGATGTTCGGTTGCGAACCTCCTGTGGGTAAGGTGCCACGGAGGAGACGACCTGAGAAGGCCACACGGTTGTCCTCCTGGGGAATGGATTGGGCAGGAGAGCCGGGCTCCAGCCCCAGGTTGCCCTGACCGGCTGCGCCCTGGGTTCATGGGCCCTGTCCCCTGCCGGTCCTCAGATCGAGCAGCTGGCCAACCCCAAGACTTGGGTCAACGCGGCCACCCAGATCTTCTTCTCGCTGGGCCTGGGCTTCGGCAGCCTGATCGCCTTCGCCAGTTACAACGAGCCCAGCAGCAACTGCCAGAAGCACGCCATCACCGTGTCCCTCATCAACAGCTCCACCTCCATCTTCGCCAGCATCGTCACCTTCTCCATCTACGGCTTCAAGGCCACCTTCAACTACGAAAGCTGCTTAAACAAGTAAGTCTGGGGGCCGAGTCCCCAGAGCTCTGAGCTGAAGCGGGGACGGGGACGAGGTGACGTTCAAAGGCCCAGGGGGCCACCGAGAGCACCCGTTTGGGAGTCCTCAATCCAGGGTCAGTTTCAGGCTTCCCACCATCAGCACCAGGAGCTGAGGGAGGGTCCTGGGGCCAGTCAAGGTCGGCCTTGCAGGGAAGGGGCTGGTTTGTGGGGTTCTGTGTGCCTAGCAGAAGACAGCATTCAACCCACACCTTCAGTGTCTGCTGATCCGTCTCCCCAGTCTCCAAAGTCTCCAAAGCCCAGCATCGTGGTGCCCACCAGGCTCCCAGCCCTGGGCAGGCAGAGGTGGGCGGATCACCCGAGCCCAGGAGTCCAGACCAGCCTGGGTAGTAACACAGGGAGTCCCCATCTCAAAAGAGAAAAAATAAACTTAATTTTTTTAAAAAAAAAAATAAAGTAACCAAGTCCTCTCTGACCAAACCCCAGAGAGGACCGGATTTCCTGTCTGTAGCCCTTGACCAAAACTACAGGAGCACCCTCTAGAAGGTGAGATTCCAACCTGGCAGGCAGCAGCCCCAAGCACCCTGTTTCCCTTAAAGTTTAAATCCCTGCCAGCTAATTGACCTTGGAATAATTTGCATGCCGACTTGAACTTTGATTTAGATGATCCTAGATTTCCTTTCAAGTCTTCCTCTTAGTAGTGACAGATTGAAGCAGATCCACCATCACAGGAAACTCCGTCCGACTTCCCTGGTCCAGGTGTTCAATCGGCCTCAGGTGGGGGTCTGGCCCCTGTCGTCCTGCCCGTTTATATCTGAGGCTTTCTCAAAGCCATCCCAGGTTTACCCACCAGTCCACAGACCCCCAACTAAACCAGAAGGTAGAGGCTGGTGGGAGGCCAGACCCCCACCCCCACCCCAGCTTCTGAGAGCCCTTGGGGAGAGCGACCTTGCCAGCCAGTGAAGGTCAAGCTGATGGTCTGCTCTGCAGGGTGATTCTGCTGCTGACCAACTCTTTCGACCTTGAAGATGGCTCTGTGACAGCCAGCAACCTGGAGCAGGTGAAGGACTACCTCGCGTCCACCGATCCCAGCAGATACAGCGAGGTGTTCCCACTCATTAAAAACTGCAGCTTGGAGTCAGAGCTGGACACGGTAAGGCACCTGGGAAGGGCGGGGCTGGCCTCTCCACACACTTCCCAGGGGCCCTGAGAACTGCCTGCCACCCACCCAGTCCCCGGACACCAGGAAAGACGGATTGGCTTTCCCTGTAACTCAGAGAACAGAGACTTGACCCCCACTTTCCCCAGGCGCTTCTGGGGACCCCTCCTCATTATAAAGCCCCGTTGGGTTCTCTGCCTTCCTTCTTTTCTCCTTTTCTCTTAATTTTAATAATACAGGAAGCTATGGGCAGAGAATAAAATAGCAAACACCCCTAGAGCCGTCTCAGGATGAATACTTGTCATCAGACTGTCGTAATTTTAAAAAGGATGTTTCAGGGACAAAATTAAATTCTCCTTCGTTAGAGGTCCTAAGTTTTCCCTACTCACCAGAGACAAGAACCTTCATTTTTATTATATATGTGTGTGTATATATGTATATATTCTTTTTAAACTATATTTTATTAGCACATATTTAGGCATGTCTATGGGGTACAGTATGATGATTTTTTGGTGCTGAGGATGGATACATGTATATAACATGTAATTATCCACTCAGGAAAACGAGCATCTCCATCTCCACAAACATTAATCATTTTCCTGTGTTAGGAACTTTTGAACCCTTCTTATCCAAAAAGGGTTATTTTGGAACACAGCAGCACAGACTGTCAGAGATTAGACAATTTCTGGCACTATGGCACAACAAAACTAATTCCTCCTCTCTCAGTCTCTTGTTTGGTGCTTCTTCTCTAACCTCTTAGCCAGATGTGGTGGTGCATTCCTGCAATCCCCGCTACTCAGGAGGCTAAGGCAGGAGGATCTTGAGTTTGTATTATTATGGACACGTCTCAAAATTAAACTGTTGAATGAGAAACAGCCAGCCTCAGCAACTTAGTGAGACCCTATTGCAAAAACAAACAAACAAACAAATGCCTCCTCTAACTCCTTTTTATGCTCCTTCCCCACTATCCTTCCCGCTCTGTTAACCACTATACCATTCTCCTTCTCTGAGATTGATTTTTTTTTTTTTAGTTACCATGGGTGAGAACATGAAGTGTTTGTCTTTCTGATTCTGACTTATTACATTTAATGTTTGAAGTTCCATCTATATTGATGCAAGTGACAGAATTTCATTCTTTTAATGGCTGAATAAGGTTCCATTGCATATGTGTACCACATTTTCTTTATCAATTTGTCCAGTGATGGACACTTAGATTGTCTCCACATCTTGGTTATTGGAAATGATACTGCAATAAGCACACAGAGCAGTGTCTCCTTGATAGAATGATTTCATTTCCTTTGGGTATAAATGCAGTAGTGGGATTATTGAATCATATAGAAATTCTACTTCTTGTTTTCTGAGAGCTTTCATAATGACCATATGAATTTACATTCCCACAGTGTAGGAGTTGGTGAGCTCCTTTGTTTGTTTTATCTGTTTGATAATTACCATGCTAACTGAAATAAGATATGATTGGGGCTTTTATTACCTTGATCATCAGTGAGGTTAAGCATCTTCTCATGTACTTGTATGTTTTCTTTTAAGAGATGTCTATTCACATCGTTCAACATTTTTAATTGGATTATGTGTATTTTTGCTATTGAGTAGTTGGAATTTAGCCAAGGAAATTTTTTAGAAAAATCTCTACAATGAAAATCACCAATTACTCATGAACGAAATTCAAGAGGACACATACACACACACACTCTTGAAAAGATATCCCATGTTCATGGATTGAAAGAATTAACAGTGTCCATACTATCAAAAACAGTCTACAGATTGAATGCAATGCACATCAAATACCAATGACATTCTTCACAGAAGAAAAATTCTAAAATTCCTAAGTGACCCAGACTATCCAAAGCAACCTTGAGAAGGAAAACAAAACAAAACAAAACAAAACAAAAACAGCTAGAGGCATCACAATACCTGACTTCAAAACACCCTACAAAACTATAATCAAAATGGCATGGTGCTGGCATAAAAACAGACAAATAAACCAATGGAATAGAATAAAGAGCTCAAAAATTAATCCACATGCATAATCCATTCCAATTTTTTTTTTGTACCAGGGATTGAATCCAGGGGTGCTTAATCATTGAGCTACATCCCAGCCTCTTTATTGTTTATTTTGAGACAGGATCTTGCTAAATTGCTTAGGGCCTTGCTAAGTTTCTGAGGCCGACTTTGAACTTGCAATCCTCCTGCCTCAGCCTCCTGAGCTTCTGTCACCACTGATTTTTGACAAGGTACCAAAAATATAAATTGAAGAAAGAATAGTCTCTTCAATACACAGTGCAAGGAAAACTGGATATCCATGTGCAGAAAAAGGAAACTGATCTCCGTCTATTGCCAAATTCAAAAATCAATTCAATATGGACCAAACACCTAAATGTAAGACCTGAAATGTAAGACTAGAAGAAAACAAAGGAAGTACTTCAAGACATTGGTATAGGCAACGATTTTTTAGGTAACACCTCAAAGGTACAGGCATCAAAAGCAAAAATAGACAAATGGGATTATATCAAGCTAAGAAGCTTCTGCACAGCAAAGGAAAATTGAACAGAGAAGACCGCCAGCATATGGGAAAAATATTTGTAGACCATGTGTTTACATATTCTTAGATGATATCATTGCTTTGTTGGTGGTTTTAAGTGAGCCTAAGTGGTCCTGGTGGACACTTTTCTCATTCAACAGTTTAATTTTGAGACCTGACCATAATAATACATTTAGAATCTCACGCATTCATTTTAAGTGCTATATTTATTTTATTCCGTCACACAATGATACTATAATTTACTTATCCATCCCTTTACTAATAGACATTTGGATGCTTTTCACATTTTTCTTTTTAATTAATTTTTTATAGTTTACGGACTTCTCTCTGCTATGCTAGGATCTTAATTTTTTCCCACAATAATTTTAGGATAACATGGGCAGGTTTCACTGGGAGAGATCCCTTAGGGAATCTTCATTAGAGTTGCATTGATAATTTTATAATGTCATTTGGGAAGGATGAATCTCTTTTGAATCATGACTTCTGATTCAGGAACAGGCTTTCTCTCATTCACTTAGGTCTTTTATTCCTTTTTATTGTTTAATCCTTTTTTTATGCTGATAAACTTTAGTTTATTCATTTATATGTGGTACTGAGAATCAAATCCAGTGCCTCACACATGCTAGGCAAGTGCTCTGCCACTGAGCTATAGCTCCAGCCCAGGTGTTTTATTCTACAATTAATTTTCTACATGAATATTTTGACATCATTTAGTGGATTTATATTACCTTGTTGTTATATTGCTATTGTGAGTGGTGCCCCCTCTCTTTTCTATCATGTTTATTTTTGATGTAAAGGAAAGCTAAAGGTTTTGTACATTGATCTCACTCATACCTAGCGACTTTGATGAATTTGCCTACAAAATTTCATATTCATTTATAGATTTGCTTCTGGGCTTTTTTTTTTTGGTGTAAACAGACACATTTTGTATTTTCAGTAGTTGTATCTCATTTCATTTTCTTATTGTATGCACTAGGGCTTTGAGCCTAACAGAAGGGTCAGCAAGCATATTGTCTAGTTCTTATACTTAATGTAAATACTTCTAGAGACTTCTAGAGAATTCTTTCCAAGAATAGGGAAGAGGGAGAGCATGGCTCTGGTCTCCAGGGAGGCTGCAGGAGGCTGGTCTCTTGGGCTTGTTGGTCCCTTGGTTACATGGGGGAGGCATTCCGGGTTATTTCACCTGTGGGGCAACACTTTCTTTCTCCTGGTGATTCAGCCCCAGATCCCTGCCTGCCCCACCCTGGGGTGTGACCCTCCCTTCCTGGGAGAATCACATGCCCCATCCTCAGGCATCAAGGCCTACATTCTGTTCAGCACCACGGGGCCCTTGAGCACCAGCTCCTGTTCAGGCCTCTCACCTCCCATTTCCTTTTTGGTTTTGGCCCCTGAGATTTTTCCTAAACTAACTTTTGAACTTGGCTCTGTGTCCATGAACTATATGGTTACTCATTTATTTAGACTTTTTTCCCTGTTCTGTTTGTTCTTTTCTCTCTTTCTCCCCCACCCTTTTCTCATTCCATGTAATCCTCTACCATTTGAAATGTGGATGCCTGTTGTTTTTTTTTTTTCCTGGAAATTTTTCTGTGCATATTTAACTTAACAAAGTCTAATGTTGACTTCCCTCCCAAGTAGCAAAAGGTCTTTTGAACACTCTCCTCCTATCCCTCTGGTTTTAAATACAATTGTTATCCAGTTCTGTCTTTTTAAACCCACGTATTTAGTAGTATACATGCTTGGCATATGCAAAGCTCAGAATATGGCTTCTTTATTTATTTATTTATTTTAGTTTTCGACGGACACAACATCTTTGTTTGTATGTGGTGCTGAGGATCGAACCCGGGCCGCACGCCTGCCAGGCGAGCGCACTACTGCTTGAGCCACATTCCCAGCCCCAGAATATGGCTTCTTTTGGCTAGTTCCAAGGTCCCCAGGTTGCTTAGAACTGAGTGTAGGACAGGAGACTGTCAATCCTATGGGTGTGCAACTGGTGTCTTCTCACCATGAGCAGGCTGTCCAGGGCACTGGCCTGGCCTTCATCGTCTACACTGAGGCCATTAAAAACATGGAGGTGTCCCAGCTGTGGTCTGTCCTCTACTTCTTCATGCTGCTGGTCCTGGGCATCGGGAGCATGCTGGGAAACACGGCAGCCATCCTCACCCCTCTGACTGACAGCAAGCTCATTACCAGCCACCTGCCCAAGGAGGCCATCTCAGGTCAGTGGGCTAGCCAGTGGAAGAGGTTGGGTTAGGGTGGGCTGGGAGGCAACGGCAAGTCAAGGCTAAGTTTCCGCAAGGGCCCTGTGCTTCTCAAGACGGCCCCAGGTGACAGAAGCAACCTCACTACAGTCCTGTGCTTCCTTAGCTGCTTGTCACCTGAGACCTGTGAGTCAGCCTGTGCCTTCCCTTCTCAACATCCCAGGAAAGATCACCCAAAACTTCAATCCTGCCCCACCTCCCCAACTTGACACTACAGCATGGGAGAGAGAGTATTTCAGTGTTTGGATCAGCTTTTTCATGGCCGTGACTAAAAGGACCCAACCAGAACAATTGTAGAGGAGGAAAAGTTTATCTGGGGGCTCACAGTTTCAGAGGTCTCAGTCTACAGACAGCAGACTCCATTCCTTGGGGCTCAAGGTGGGACTGAATGTGATGGCAGAAATGTGTGACAGAGGGAAGTAGCTCACATGATGACCAGGAAGCAGAGAGAGAGAGAGAGAGAGAGAGAGGTCTCCACTTGTCAAATACAAAAATACACCCAAAGCCACGCCCCCAATGCCCCACCTTCTAGCCACACCCACCTACCTTTAGTTACCACTCAGTTAATCGCATCAGGGGATTCATTCACTGATGGAGTTAAAGCTTTCACAGCCCAACCCTTCTCCTCTGAACCTTCTTGCACTGTCTCACACGTGAGTTTTTGAGGGACCCTTCACATCCCAACCATAAGGTTCAGCTTCTATTCATTGAAGCATCACGATTACAAGCATATATTACTTAAGGACGCTGCAATGAATTTTTACCTATAGGTCCTTCCAAATATCCACCACCTAGGTCAAGAACTTTGCCCAGACCCCAGAGAGCTCCTTCTCAGATTCCTTCCCAGGCAATAAGTGTGCCTACAGCCCTCCCCTATTCTGAGTCCTACCATTTTAGTTCTCTCTGCACTGTCCTTGAACTGTGGATCAATGAAGTCTGTTATCTTCATTCAAAAACCGTGAAATCCACCGTGTGGTCATGGGCAGCAATTGCCAGACACTCTTCCTGTCGTACAATAAGCCATTGAAAGAGTGCAGTTTCTCCATCCATTCAGCTTTCCTTGGGATCATTAGTGAAGGAACCAGCTTCTCCCAGAACATCTTCCCTGGCTTGGTTCTACCACTATTCCCACCAGTCATGAGGACCGAGTAGCCTGGCCCTCTGCCTGTGCCATGGCTGGCGCCACGCCTCCACCACACCCAGGGTGATCCAAACCCAGGTCCCCTCCCATCTCCTTCAAGTCCTGACCCCCTTAATTGGATCCACCTGCCTTTCTTGAGGGTCTGCTTGCACTTAGCATCCTGCTTGGAATCCCGTCTCTGCAGCCAGCATGTGTGCAAGCAGCTCCCTAGACAGCACTTACCCCTTTTTCCTGGTGCTATCCCTTGAAGATGGCAGTGGGGGCTCAGGGGCCATCACTGTCTGGTGTGCAATGGAAAGGAGTGGGAGCTTAGGCTTCAAACCCCTCCTGGGGTCCCCAAGACAGGAGGCAACTGAAGGAGACGGGGACAAAATCCAGATTCTGGAGGCTGAGGCACCTGTGTCTGAATCCTGACTCTGCCACCGTGTGCTGTGGGCCGTTGGATGAATTGTTTGACATCTCTGAGCCTTAGCTTCCCACTGGGAAAGTGATTCCTGATACCTGCCTGGCAGGTTTAAGGATACAATTCATAGCCAGTACCTGGTACATAGTAGGAGCTGGGTAAACCCTAAGTTTCTTCCCCACTCTGGTGGTATGAAAGATATCTCCAGGAAGTCCTGATGGAGATCCCTACCTCACATTCAAGCCTCTTCCCTGATTGACTGTCCATGAGCTCTGGGGCTGAGTGGGTGGGATCAATATCATCCCCAGCCCCACAGCCCAGGTGAGAGTCCCCAAAGAGCAAATGCTCACCACGCTCACTTTCCCAAGGAGCCTAGCGTCACCCTCTCCCAATCCATGTGGATGAACCCATTGGCTAGAGTCCCCTTAGGAGTCCATGGCTCCTGCTGCCCCATGAAGAATCGGATGCGTGGGCAGAGGTGTGGGCAGATGAGCCCATGGTCTTGTGCCCCCAGGTCTTCTGTGCCTCATCAGCTGTGCCGTCGGCTTGGTGTTCACCATGGAGGCCGGAAACTACTGGTTTGACATATTCAATGAATATGCGGCCACACTGTCCCTGCTGCTCATCGTCCTGGTGGAGACGATCGCCTTGTGTTACGTGTACGGGCTGAGGAGGTGAGCGGGCTCCAGCCCTTGCCAGCTACGTGGGGGAAACGCAGTGGAAGGGGGACAACCCACAAGAAAAATCGCCCCGACTCAATGTCATTTCACTCCCAGAGGTTGGCCCTTTGCCTTTGGATCTCAGCTACTTCTCTGCCTCGCTTCACTCTGTTATAGGAAGTTTCCCAGCTGACCCTGCTGGACCCCACAGCTTAACTCGGTGGAGAATTTTTATACCTCCAGGTCTTAGATGCCCCGATCATTGGCTAACATCAGTGTTTTTCAAGGACTTGGACCAAAGTCCATTGAGAACTAGGAATTTTGGCAAATTCAAAATGTGGTCAGGTTCTCAACCCCGCTGCCCAGGCTGGCACAGCAATGTGGCCCGTCTCCCCAGGTCATGAAATGGGCAGCTGGGCTCACAACCCCTGGCCTACAGCAACTTTCAAACTTGAATGTGCCTCACAGCCACCCGGGGGCTCATGCAAACAAGGGTTGCAGGGCCCCACCGGAGGTTCTGGTTAAGGAGTCTGGGGTGAGGGACGAGAGTTCTCATTTTAAGCCAGGTGCAGTGGAGCATACCTGCAATCCCAGGGACTCAGGAGGCTGAGGCAGGAGGATCTCAAGTCAAGCCCAGCCTGGGCAACTTAGACCCTGTCTCAAAAAACAAAAAAAGGTCTGGGGATATAAGTCAGTGGCAGAGCACCTGGATTCAATCTCCAGTACCAAAAAATGAATGAAAAGAGAGTTCTCATTTTTGCATGTCCCCAGGTAGTCTGGAGCCACACTTTGAGACATGGTCTAGTGCCATACTCCTCCAATTGTGGTCCCTTGAACAGCAGCACCAGCAGCAAGGAACAGACAGCCTGCTAGAACCTGAGGACCTCAGGCTACCCAGTGCCACTGAGGCAGCTCATCTAATTAACATGCTCTGAGCACATGGCAGGCGCTGCTCCAGCGTGAGCTGGGATCAGGGGACCAGGCCACTTTGTCTTACCTCCTCTTTCCTCAGTGTCTTCTGATGTTCCACACTGGTTTGGGATGGAAAGGAAGACGACCAGCTGCAGCATTCTAGCAGGCTGGAGGTCCCTTGAGAGGCATTCCTCACTGTGCCTGGAACAGCTGAGATTTCCTGACATGCCAAGGGATTGTCCACAATCAGTGCATCTCAGGACATAAGTTGAAGCCAGCTGGCTGTCTTTCCTGTAGCTCTCACGGAACCTGGAAGACACTTGAGATTCACAGACAGGGGTTATAATCTGCAGCATTCCCAAAACCTACTTGGCTCTTTAAA